ACAAAAAACCAAAAAATAAAAAACCAAAAATCGAAAAAAAAGAAAAGGATCGTTTTAAAATAAAAGCTTTGTTAAAATATAAAAAGCTTTTGCGAAAACGAAAATACCTGGTTAAATAAATAAGTTATAACGAATCGGAAAATTCGTAAATTTTAAAAAAGGATATTACAAAAAAAATTGTTTAAACGTATAAAGCAAGCTTATTGGAAGCAAGTTTATAAAATAGGGAAAATACCGAACTTTAACGGGTAAATACCCGGAAAGGACGGGGGTATTACAAAAAAAAGTAACAAAAGCCAAAGGAATGGCCCAAAAAAATGTTTTAACGTGCCAAACCGGCTAGCTACCGGGAAAAAACGTAAAAAAACCCGTAAACGGTTTGTAATAACCGTAAAATATCGTGCTTTATAAACAAAAAGTTAAATAAAGACGGTATAATACGGGAAACGCCCTAAATTAATAGTGCGATACATTTAAATCCCGAAAAATATGCAAAGTGTAGTATATTTCGAAAAGCCCGTAAAAGGCATGCTTAGCGCAATACGCCAAAGCAATTACCGCATTTTAAACGTACGTTATAGTAAAAAACATTATTGCTTGCCCGAAAAAAAAATAAAAAAACCTCCGGATAGCATAGCAAACGGGCTTAAGCGTTTAAATAACGGCAAATGCATATCGGCGGTATTTAAACCCATTAAAAAAGCGAAAAAAAAGCATTTTAAAATTATTTATTAAAATATTAAAGCTTAATTGGTAAATATAAATACCGGAATTTCGCAATGTTGCAAAAGCAATATAACAAAAGGAAATTGTAATTTTAATTATAATAAATTAACGAAAAAAATTTAAAATTAATTACCTTTCGAAAAAAAATACTAATAATTAATTAAAAAAATATGTAAAAAAAATTAATTAAATACCGTATCCAAAAAAACCAAAACCTTTGGAAATTACGTTCCTTTTGCTAGCGTTACAATTGTTGCCGCCAAAATCGTTAGCGCCGAAAGCGGCACTTTCCGGCGCCAATACGAACGCCGCACCTTTACGAAAAACCGCGCGGCTGTAAATTTGGGTATTTAAATGCGCCGCAATTGTAACAAAGTTAGCGGCAATGCCATTAAAAAAAGCAATTACACCTTTTTCGAAACGCTTAAAAAACGCTTTTATTTTATTAAAAAAATTACCAATGCCAGCCAAAGCCTAAACCTACCTTTTCGTTTAAACGGCAATAGCGTAAAATTATTGGAAAATGTTTTAAATAATTTTTAATGTCGTAGCGCTAGCAATTTTGCGTTGGATGCGCTTTTAAATAACGGTTTAACGTTTGTAACGCGCAAATTGTTCGGCCGATATGGTATAAAAAGATTTAGTTTTTTGGATAACTTTGCGGGCGCGAAATGGGGCTTTAATAAGCTTTTCGAAAAACTTCGGTATTGCTTTGGGCAACCGTTTATAAACGGTATTTAAAATTTTGTAAAAATTTTGGGCCATTTCCTAAAATTATTTAGGAAATTTAACGCAAGCTTTATTGCTAACCACGTTTTTGCAATAAATACATTTAAAAAACCCCGTACAATTATCGAAGCATATCGGCATACGGGGGTTAACGGCATAATTTTAATATGCTTAACAACCAAAATAACAGCTATAAAATACCGTACGCTCCGTATAATTATCCTTAAAAAGGGGCAAACAAATAAGGTTTTAATTATCGCTTTATTGGAAATCGATAACTTTTTGCAACGGGAACGCGTTGCAAATACCTATATAAAACGAAAAAAAGGCAATATCCGTTTTAAAAACAGGTTTATTAAAATTAAAAGCGTTACGGCGGCGCTTATTGCGCGTTTTACGCTTTTTTTTAGCAAAGGTTTTTTTGCCGCGGCGGTTAAAACCCGCCGGGGGGTTACCGGCAAAACGTTTGCGGAAGTTTTAAAGGGTTGCAAGCGCAAAAGGGCCCGATAAACCCGCGACATTTAAAAGGCTTACCGGAAGGTTATTAACAAAGCGATCGTTAAGGATTTAAAGGATTAAAGGCTTCGGCAAAACCAAATCCGAATTCGATTAAATTACGATAATTAAAAAAAATACCGGGGGGTCGCCAAAAAGGGCCAACGGGCCGGCTGGAACCGAAAAACCCGAAACGGATACCCGAAAAAACATTACCTTTCTTACGTAATTAAGTACGAAGGATAACATTTACAGCTACCGGTTAAATCCAAATGTCCAAAAAAAGCGGTTAAATACTAATTACTTACGGTTACGATCGTTAAAATTATTGGAATGGTTATTGGATGCATAAAAAGGAAAAAAAAGGGTTTGTAATTTCGAGCGGGAAAAAAAGCTTTTTATATGCCGGTACGGACCCACTTTTCCGAATGCTATAAAGTTTTATAGCCGGTTTCCCCAAGCATTGCCGGGCATTGGGGCGGTTTGGCGGGATACCGTAAGCTATTGGCTACTTACGGGGTCGCACGCGCGGCATAAACGGCTTAGGATAAGCCGTATCGGAAAAGGGCAATATGTTAAAAGCACGGGCGAAACCGCCCGGCAAAAAGCGGGAAGCGTTAAATGTACGGGCGAAACCGCCCGGCAAAAAAGGAAAAAAAGGGCGTTAGCAGCTAACCGGGCACGAACCCCCCGGAAATATACCGGCAAATTACCGGTATCGCGGCCAAAGCATAATAACGAAATTAAAAAATAGGGTAAAGCTTAAATTGCACGAAAGCGTTTAAAGCGCGGAAAATTTAAAAAACCAACCCCGGGTGCCCGAAAGGGCACGAAAAAAGGGAAGGTTAAAAAAAAACAATTTTTGTTGGCGATAATACCTTTGGTAAGAAATTTACGGAGGCTTAACAAAGGAAATACCGCATCCGGCCCGTAACCCGGTAACTACCCGCCTTTGCACCGATTGACCCCTAACACCGCGCTTTGCTTAATTTGCCGTGCGAAATCCCGTTAATGCGCAACCTTAAAGGTTAAAAAAATACCGACGTTAAAAAGCTACAATTTGTAAATTGTATGCGGAGGAAAAGGGAAAATTACGATTTTTTTCTTTTCGCATTTTTTTTAAAACGGCAACGTTAAATGGGATTCGTAATTGTTAATTAATAATAAGCAATATTCGTTAAGCAACAAAAACGTTGCTTGCTTAATAAAGTAATTAAACCAATCGAGCGTAATTAAATTGTTAATCCAACCGTTTTTGCTTGTAGTAAAAATCGTTTTTAAATCCAAAAAATTGCGCACGTATTTTTCGTTAATACAAATTCCGGCCATAATAATAAACGAAAAAATCGTTGCGCCGGCGGCCAAGCAAGTTTTAACAATTGTAACGATATTTCGGTAATCCGGATCGTTTTAAAACCAAGCTTCGATATCCGTATAGCACCAAATAAAGCTTTTTTAAAATACGCTTACCCAAAAGCTTATTTTGTTAAAATTCCATTTATTTTCCGGTTTAATTTAATATTTTTTTACGCACCGCGCGTAAAAATCAAACCATTTTTTTAGTACTAGCTTATTTTGTACCGCGCGCTTTTCGATAATTTGCGGCTTTTTTTACCCGTTTTAATAGCTTTTTATAAACCGAAAGCTAAGTTTAAGCCCATTTTTTTTTAGCGTTCGTTAAAAAAGGGGTTAGCCGGCGGCGAAGGATTAAATCGACGGTTTAAGCGACGGCAATTGCGGTAACGGCGTTTTTTAAAAAAGGTTAATTTATTTACTAACAAACCGTACCTAAAACCGTTTGGATTAACTTACCGATTAATTGCTTCCAATTAGCCCACGCAAATAACGCAAAATCCTTGGTTTTTGTTAACTTTTTATTGTGCCCGCCGTTTTTTATTTTGCCGGCGCTTTTTTGCCGGCGCCTTTGCAATAAGCGAAAGTTTATCCCGTACTGCCGCGCGCAAGCGGCGAAGGTTTTAAAGCCGCCTTAATCGAAGGCTTCCAGGGCTATTAAAACCCGGGCTTTATTAGCCCGGGCCTTTTCGCGCTTTTTTTCGCACCGGATCCTAAGCATTTCGGTAAAATTTGGCTGGAAAACCCAAAAGCGCAAGGCCTAAATTGGCGGGGTTAAAATTACGATGGTTTTTTGGCTGTGCACCGTACTTACAAGAATTTGGCTAATTATTACCTTTTTCGGCGATACATTGGTTTTTAGCTAATTTGGGTGGGGAAAAGTGTTATAAAAAAAACGTTGAATTGCCCCGAAAACGTCGAATTGCCCCGCCGCACTTTACTCCGGAGGACCGTTAAATTGCAGGCGCTTTTAGCCCGCAC